GTCTAAGTAATTATCCTTTCCAGCTAGCCTAGGATCATTTTCTTCCCCAGGCAAAGTGTAAATTAAATTTCACTTTTCTGCCATTCGCTGTCATTAGCCGCCACACCACAACGAAGCTTTCGCATTACCTTGTTTTAGGCTAAAAGTTAATAGAGGCTGTTTTGATAAGCGCAGGTACCTTACGGTAACGGATCTGGCTGTTTCAATTTCCATTCCATTTCTTTCACATATTTTGAGTAAATTTGCCTATTATGAACCCCATGCCTTTGGTGGATCAATTACAGATTGATGCAATTTTAAAGATAATTTGAACGGTTTAAAGATACATCACCATTTGTATCGATTCATTGGAAAATATTGGTCAAGTAGTAAATTGCATTTTTTTTCCATTTGAAAGCATGGCGGTCACTGTCACTTTGGGATTTTCCTTATTAGAAAGTTGAATAAATTTTTCTCCTTTAGTTTACTTAAATCTTTGGTTTTTATTAGTTAGGTAGGTTCCGATTCAACATATTGTAGTTTCATTTTTATACCTATGATCTTGACTTTTATACCTAGGGGATGAGTACTTAAGGGGGTTAGATTTTGATAAGTTCTTTAGTGGGAATGACACTGATGAAGACTGCAAATTGTAGTCGAAATACGTATCTGTCATGGATACCAAAATTAGTTAAGTGGAATTAAATGGAAGATAACCTTTTTTTGCTGTTTTACTATTTCATATGTTCAACAATTTTTTTTAAATACAGGACTAAGTCTTCGTGGAATATAAGAGGGTGAAAATCAATAAAATGTGCGACGATGACTTTCGAATGCACATTTTGAAAAATTCGTTTAAATTTAGGTGCTCTGAGACTGACATATACGAGCGTCAATTTTGACATAAAATTGAATCATAATAGACGCAAAACTCAGCTCAATCAAACGTACTTTTCGTCGAGTATCGAACTTTTCAGTATCAGAGCACTTAATTTTACATTACTTGTTTGTTCACGTCTCATCCTTTATGTCAAAGATGGATTCCGTCATGTATAAAATTAGTTATTTCTTACTGTGTGGACCACATTTTTCGAGCAGTTTAAATGCCTTGAACTTGAACTTGCAACATTATACCTCTAGTTTCTCGAAAAAAAGGGTCTTATTTATGTTATCCCTAAAATATCGACTATGAGTTGCATAATTTTAATATAATGTCTGGTAGAAGCCCTAATAAACAAATACCATAAACGAACTGTATCCCGGATGGGTAAACTATCTCATAAATGGTTTGGATGATACCCCGAACACGTCGTTAAGCTCTATTTTATGGTTATTTTTATTAGGGAGGTCATCCCAAAATTGCTCTATTATGAGATAAATTTTCTTGAAACTGCTATGGAAATGTCCACTCAAAATTCCTCTAATAATTTTCGCGGATCCTGAATTATTCGTAACAAACGTCATTTTCCACGGAACTTCTATTCTGAACTCACACAATAGCCCTCGAGTTCTAGTTAACACTCTCCCAAAACTCCCTTGTAAATTTTATCAGATCCACCTTTTGAATTCATTCTGAAATCGTCTCAAAATTCCTATAGAATTTACATCAACATTCTCTTCAAATATCTTCAACCCGATTTATCCTAGAAAGCAAGACCATTCCAAGGGTCTCAAGAATCTTCTTTTATCTCGATTTTTCATTTTTCGAAGTTCTCTCCCGATTTCTCGGTTATCGGTTCCCCCTGCAATATCTTTTTTTTTTCTAAAATGAATATCAGATCTTAAAACTATTAATTTAGACTCATAAAATATGTTCTTTTAGAAATTTTAAACACATTTTTTTATAATTATTATAAAAGAAATAAGGGACCATAATTTGGTATAAAATCTATAAAATTAATTTCCAAACAAACTTCGCAATAATTAAAGGGTGTGAGATTGTGATATCGTGACTTAATTTTCAAGTTGGTGGTTGAGAAATTGTGACGATATGTGACATAGGAAGGAGGGAGGTTTAATTTCAGGCCAAATTAGCTTGGTCAACTAATCATTTTTCAATGTGCTAGAGTTGTCATTAATTTTTGGAAATTCAAAAGCAGTTTTGTTTTTGCCTAAGACCGGAATTCTGTCAATGAAAATGTGTTTACTGTATTTCAGTAGGCAAGTAAACTGCAATGAACACATTTTCATCAACGTAAGTTTGAATTTGAACGAACAAACTGCTTTTGAATTTTTGAAAATTAATGACATCCTTTTTCACCTTAACATTTTAGCAATCCAAAAAGAAAATCGAAGAAATTGATCATCGCAGTTAGGCCCTTACCCTTCTGAACGCTAGAACGGTAGAACCTCAATAAAATATATATGATTATCTTGCTCAACGACGTGTTCGTGGTATCATCCAAACCGTTTACGAAATTGTTCTACCATTTGGGATATCGTTCATTTATGGTATTTGTTTATTATTGAAGGTTTTTTTCTTCAGCAAAGTTGTTCGAGCGAATATGGCTCATTAGATGGTGTAAATCACACTTTACAATTCGCTCACCAAGTGGCGCAAGTATGCCATTTATCTTCAAATTACTTGCTTAAACTTGCGAGCTTGACTAGGGTAATGATTTGAGTACTTCAAAATTATTTGGAGAGCGACTATGTTGCGTGACGTTACAAAGTTTTGTACTTCTCAACTATACTACCCAATTAACAATGCAAGTTTTATCGAGGTTTTCAAGCATGCTACAAGTCTAAATCATGGTCTCTAGAACCCTCATAAAACCAAAATTGTTACTTGGGTACTCAGCAACTAGTCACCATAACGATTTAAGCTACTCCTATCTAATCTAAAATGGACTTTGAATTATTTTAAACCACCACTCTGGTTACAATAAAATATACATTATTCAGGTATATAATATATCCTAAATTCAAATTTTTAAGTGTGGACTTTATTTGATTTATGAATTAAATTTATCAATCAATAATTTTGTGATTATTATTGAATTGAGCTACAAATTCTATCTCGCAGTCTAACGTCAATAATGCGTTAGTGCTTCGGAAACCACCCTTTATTTTTTTTAAGGTATTAAAACTCCTTCAATGGTCTCGGGTGGTCCATAAAAGGATAATGCCGAATTTTAATGCAAATTTTCCTGGATAAAATCAATTTATTTACTTATTTAAGTATCATAAGTCATACTAAGCTATTCGTTAAAGGGAATTCCACGGCTCTGAAAAATAAATAAATACGTTTTAATCATTATAAAAATATTGAAAAAATATTAAAAATCTAAATACATCACATTTTTATAATTTTTGAAAGAAAATTTACGTGCAAACACATTTTTTGTAATGCAGTAATGAAATTGGGTTGTTAGCAGAATGCTTAAATTAAACAGCAAAAAAGGTTATCTTTCATTTAATTCACTAAATCAAGTTTTGTCTGCCATGGAATAATTAAGTGTAAATCGAAGATAACCTTTTTTGCTATTTTACAATTTGTATATGTCATGTAAGTCAAAAAGCCATAAACATCGACATTTCTGTTTTGCTGAGGGTTCTTTTTTTTCCATTATGATATAGAAAACAAGAAAAACTAATTTTCTTGTTACATTCAAAGTGTTTTTATGTTACTTCATACGCGAAGTTAGCGATACTTCAAGTCTCCGCGTACATCGTACGGGTTAGGCAAAAGATGTGCGTCTATCTTTAAAAAAAACTGTCGCATTAATGGCCCTTCGCTCATTTTCAACTTCTATTCAATTTTCATACTGCCGTACTCTAACGGAACTATCCACCTACCCTCTTCTAAAGATCATTCTCTAGCTAATAAATTATCACATTGAAGCTTCATGTTAGCATTTCCAACCAACTCTAATTTTCTTGGATTTTTGACAATTTTTCCCAATATTTTTAGAAACATAAAACCGCGCCGATTTTTCTCTGAGTGGTAAATTTCCCCTTAACACTCCGAACCCGATGCCTCCGGTAAAATGTGTAACAGAAAATTGGCACTGTTTGAAAAATCATTGCTCAGCAATTTATCGATAGATTTTAAATCAGATGATACCGAATAAATCTTTAAAGTCTGTAGTTTCAAGTTCCGTCAAAAGATTTGAAATTCGTCAATAAATCGCTGAGCTATGATTTTTCAAACATGACAAGTATGTCGTTACACATTTTACCGGAGGCCTCGCGTTCGGAGTGTTAATGTGCACCTTATGAAAAAAAAAAAAACCGGTCGAACCAAAAATTAAAAGGTCATGAATTTGGCGTTGATGGCTAAAACAGATACTAGGGGTCTATAATAGGGCAATTTACCCTAGGTACGAATCTGTTTGTTTGAGTGCGTTCCGTGGTCTTAATTTGATGCCCGCGTGTATCATGAGGAGCTGGGCAAGTCTAAATTCGATTTGCGGTTTGGTTGTATTGGTAGTTGTCTGGTCAACTTATCTGACCGTAGGATTAGTGGGTGAACAAAAATAGATTAAAATGCGAAACCAAAACACAGAAAGGGGTGTGCAATCCATTGAGTAAACATGTTTCTAAACTATTGTAGTTCTCATTTGAATAATCAGCTATGAATGATATTTCAATGAACATTATGTTAGACACCAAAATATTCCATTTCACAATTCAAAATGTAGCCTTACTGCACGTTTACTGTGAAATGGATTTCTATTTACAGTAATCATTAATGCTCTTTCAGTCCGTCTGTTTACATCCACCCGATAGTCGTTGTTCACTTTTCATCGGCAATGCTTTAGAGCATGCATGCAGGCACTATCCAAAGAACCTGCCGTGCCGGTGTAGAGCCAGGTATCCTAACTATAGAGCATCGGGCAAGTGGCACCGGTCGTTGTCGTGGTGATATGGACAGGGCGTTGTTATGGTGATGGTGTGAGGTGTTGGTTGCTTTGATGTGTGTCGTTCGTGTGCCTACTATAGTAGTGGCACTTCTAGAAGGTTGCTTTTAGCTTCATTGATGTTGTGAGTCAGCCAGTCAGATCAGTTTGCTAACGAACTTCGCGAAGCGTCATTTTTTATCGCGTATCGTCGTGGCTCGCGATTCGAGACTAGTTGGTTCGGGAGTTTTTCGGTGTTGTTTTTCCAAGTCAAAGGTAAGTTTTTCTACCGGTTCCGGTTCGATTTGATTAAGTGTCGCAAAGGTGATGCCGATGATAAAGTGGAAAACCAAAGGGAGCCCTGTGAGTGATTGATTCAGGTGGACTGGAGTGATGAAGAATTTGGAAGTTTAATTAACGCACCACACCCTAAGAGGTGAAGACGCTGCAACCTGTGTCATTCAATCGATCGATTGGAATGTGGCCAGTTTGTAGCAGATGGAATCCAGTTCGCGGGCTCAAATTTTGACAGTTAGGTGAAAGAAAATATTGTCTAGCAATTATCAAAATGCATGGCCTAATTGAAGGAAGTAATTCCAGTCAATTCCAATTGGCAATTTTGTACGTGATCTCAACTCATGTTTTGTATCCGTCAAGTTCCCACAGAAATGCACAGCTATGTTGGTGTAGCTTATGCATTTGAAATCATACAAAGTTTCAACCAATACATACCAAGAACATGGTTAAGTGGTAGCATATTTACTGTCTGTCACATATGACTGTCGTTTTGTGCATGCTTGCTTTCTTTCTTGTTGGAAATTTGGTGTACTGGAGCGCAACTTTACGCCACAATAGCATGTGGCTCAATGGTCTAGGGGCATGATTCTCGCTTTGGGTGCGAGAGGTCCCGGGTTCAAATCCCGGTTGAGCCCAAATTTTTTTTTTAATCGAACGAATGTGCATGGGAAAATTTGAGTGCACGCAAATGGATTAGAATATTAATTTTCCCCACAGAATAGCCTTCTCCATCGCAAACGATTGGCGTCGAGTGCAGCTTTGTGTTTGAGTGTTCCCGGTATCCGAAAACCAAAAGTGTATGTGTCAACGGTGGTAGTAAATGGATGCGATAGACGTGCTTGGAATACACATTAAAAGCTGTGGCTCTCGGTGTGACAAGCTGCTGGCTGTTTTCGCAGTAGTGGGAATAGGGTGGGCTGGTGTGGTGTGGTGATCGAATTATGAACGAAGATTATTTTGCATGCATGAACAGTTGAATGGTGGAGCGTAAACAAACCGTTTGCCGGAATTGGGTTCGGGAGGCATTCTAGGGAAACAGCAGTGCTGGGAAGTGTGGTGCGTTAACGTGAAAATCTTCAACACTTATGAATATATGCGGACTGATACGGCGAAAGATAATCACAATTGATTATGATTGTCGGCAAATGAAAATTGGCGTTCAACGGATAAGTGGTTTAGTTCTATGGTTGGATCTAAACCGAGCCGTGTTACGATGTTTGTGACAAAATGTGCTTCTGGGAACGCTTGGACATGAGCCCGGCTAGCTCAGTCGGTAGAGCATGAGACTCTTAATCTCAGGGTCGTGGGTTCGAGCCCCACGTTGGGCGGACATCTTTTTTATTATTTGTTGATCTTCTTTATCGACATTGATCGTCGAGGAAAATAAACTGTTTCGTTATAAGCACGTGATTTAACAAGATGGGGATGTAGCTCAGATGGTAGAGCGCTCGCTTAGCATGTGAGAGGTACGGGGATCGATGCCCCGCATCTCCAATAGGATTTTTTTAGGCAGACGGGTGGTGTGCGAATATAACATCATAATAATATATATACAGCAAAATAAAATGTAATCTAGATCAACGTAATTCATGATGCTGTATGAAATATTGAAGTGATAGCAAAAATCAGATACAATATTTTGCATTCTTGGATCGATACAGATACAATGGTTTTGCATCCACTATGAATCTGTTTGGACATATTTCGATACTACAGACTTTATCCCAGTCATGGTTGATCTAGTAGAATAAATCATCTGAACACCAGAACTATTTGGAAAACATAAAACATATGGTATACATGGCAATAGTTCATGCATGATCCACATAGACTCTGTGCATCTATTTGGAAATATTTCGATACTAAAGACATTGTCTCAATCTCGGTTGATGTAGTAGATAAAATTATCTGAACTCCAGGATGATTTGAAGAACCTTGAACATTTGGATTACTCGGAAATAGATCATGCATGATCCACATAGACACTTTGAATCTTATTGGACATTTTACGATACTACAGACATTATTGCAGTCTTGTTTGATCTAGTAGAGCAAATCAACTGATGTCCTGGACGATTTGAAAAACCTATAATTTTCGGTATACATACAAATAAGCTTGAAATGCCATGTAGTAGTATACAAATACTAATTTTAGGCAATGAAAAAAAATTATTTTTTGCGCGGATTAGTATTTGAAGTCGCGGATTTCTTTTCAAAAATCGCGAATTTCGCGGATCAAATTTATAAAATCTTGTAACAGCCCTGAAAATATAATGAAAACAATTCTGAATATAACTGGTGATGTAAACATCAATGCGTACAAACTTGCATTTCCTATCACTTGCACGACACATTGCTAACAAAGACAGATGGTTGCATGCAATTTTTCTAATATTTCATTAAATGTCTGATGATGTAATATTGTATGATATGTGACGCTTCATTTATGTGCATCGTATTAAATAGAAATTGACACTACTTTTTAGAACTGTGCATGCTTTCTTCTAGCAAAAGGCAGTGCAAAGCAGCAATTAATTTTCAAGTTGTTGGCTTACGCAAATATTTCATAACATGGTTCGAAATTTGGATCGCAGACTTTCACATGAAGCGCAAGCGTACACCAGCCCGGCTAGCTCAGTCGGTAGAGCATGAGACTCTTAATCTCAGGGTCGTGGGTTCGAGCCCCACGTTGGGCGACAATATTTTGAATACGATCGCTCTTCTTTATCATCACATAATTGTGAATGGAGCAATCAGATTCGTTGAAATCGGCGGCATTTCATCGTGGGGATGTAGCTCAGATGGTAGAGCGCTCGCTTAGCATGTGAGAGGTACGGGGATCGATGCCCCGCATCTCCAATAGGATTTTTTTAGACTGATGGATAGCGACGAATCTAACAACATAATTAAATGGTTTTCTATTTATCTATGTACATAGCAAAAAAAAAAGAATTACCGAGCATCGTTATAATAATGTGATTGCAAAAAGCAGAACATGGATGTAGATTTGCTCGTAATTCCTGTGGACATCGTTCAATGTAATACAGTATTGGCCTAATTTTGTCAGCCCATCCGCGCACCGGAGTTCTTTCTTTTTAGAAATTTCACGTATCCGTAATATCATATCTATCTCATGGATGTTTAAGGTATTCTTTAGAGCAATTGGACCACTGAAACAGCGCATGGGTCTCGTAGAAAATTAGAATAGAGTTTCAAAAAGAGGGCTGACAAAATTGGGTCATTACTGTAATAAACAATCGATGGAATGTCCTATGTGCAGCAGTTTTGATGTAACTTTAGTGCTATATACCTCGTTGTTTGTGACTCTGATCACATATAGGGTCACATCAAATGCATTTGATGGTTAGCAGAATGTGGTTGATAATAACAGGTAGGGGAAATGCAGGTAATGTCGGCCTACATGTCCCTAATTTGGGCCCATCGCTAAAAGTCTGCTATTTATCAATTTTATCTAGATGAACGCGTTATTGGGACGTTACTAATGGATATTTTTGGTTGCTATTGAAAATTTAGTTGATTGCTGAATTTATGTATGGGCCCAAATTAGGGACACTTAGGCCGACATTACCTGCATTTCCCCTATTTCGTTTGTATTAAATTCAAATAAGACGTTATATGTACCGTAAAACGGGGTAACATTGATAGTTTTTTGAAGTATATTCTAAATATTTTTTTACAGCAATTACATTTTTTCAAATTTTATTTTTTTAAAACAAGTTCTGATGATCCTTGCGTCAATTCGTTAGTAATATACTTGACGGAAATTAAATCATTTGCACTATTTTTTAGTCTTAGTATTTTGATTTGGGGTTACTTTGATAATGCTCGTTTAATTTAGAAGAAAATGCGTGAAACTCAAATAATTTAGTTCTTGAAATATGCAACTTTGAATGAGTATGTAGACAGAAAACATCATAAGTAATAAGAATACAACATTTAATTTGTGATGGCTATATTGGAAATACATTTCATAAGTGATGGTTTGAGTGCTTTTTCAAACAGGCGATAAACAAGAAAATTTGAATTTTAATATGTTTGTAAAATATGTAACACATACAATATAAAAACTATGTACCATATAAACGAAAATGCCTTAAGCTACAATATGGAACCAATGTTTCGAATTCGGAAAAGGCGCAGAGAGTAAATTTAATCATTGTATTCTACTATCAAAGTTACCCGCATTATCAAAGATACTCCGTTTTACGGTACACAAAATGTGCTTTCTTCTAGCAAACGGCAGTGCAATGAATTACTTACGTTGTTACACCAATATTTCATAAAATGGTGTGAAATTTAGATCTCAGATGTTCACACGAGATATAAGCGTACACATGCCCGGCTAGCTCAGTCGGTAGAGCATGAGACTCTTAATCTCAGGGTCGTGGGTTCGAGCCCCACGTTGGGCGACAATATTTTGAATACGATCGCTCTTCTTTATCATCACATAATTGTGACTGGAAAAATCATATGCGTTGAAATCGGCGGTTTATCATCGTGGGGATGTAGCTCAGATGGTAGAGCGCTCGCTTAGCATGTGAGAGGTACGGGGATCGATGCCCCGCATCTCCAACATTAATTTTTGACAAAGGGATATCTATCGGATTGTCAGACAGTATAATAGAAGTGCGTACCACCAAATTAAATTGAATGCTTAAATATTGTTATTTGCAAATTAAAACCCCCTCAAAAGCGTGATCATGCGATTGAAAGTGCACTTTGACGTCGTATAGTCAGAAGCTCCGCTAGTAAAAGTATAGACGTCTGTAACCAGAAAACTAGAGAGTTTAATTATCGTCTTGATTTTTGATGTCTTACAAAGAAATAAGTGTGCAGAAGACATAAAAAATATGATATTTTAAGTGCATCCTCACTTATAATCGCACTTATAATGTGCGCATTGTGCAATATATTAACAGTGCTAACAAAAAAAAAATCATGCACAGCAAAAAAATAAT